TCGCCTGTGGTCGAACATGAACTCGTAAATGATCTGCAATGGTATCGGAAACTCTTACACAAGAACGGTGTGTATCTGTCCCCACTGAAGAAATGGAATAGTACATGGTTGGTGGGCATGGAAAGAATCGACGCTTTCGAGTTTGTTTTCGGATTAGAAGTTGATATTTTTGGGTAGAACACCTGCAGATTTATCCTACCCTGTCTCATAGGTGTATTACATCGTAGCCGTGAGCGATCAGGACGGAGTTTCTTGTGGAAGCATACGGTCAAAATGGTTTGATCGTTTTTTAATTACATGATTTGAATCCATTCGGAGCCATGATTTGTGAGATGTATGCTGAGCTCATTTGCACAAACTTTAATTGTATATGGACACAAAGAGCCTGTCATGAACAGAGACGTGGCAACTGAAAGGTCACATTTTAATTTGACCTCACAGGTCATCAAAGGTCACCATTACAACTCATGACCTTCAAGAGGCAGAAGATTTCAAAAAATGATTACACGCTGACCAGAATGATACCAACAACAGGAGCAAAACATCCCGGTCCGGGATGTTTTGCTCCTGTTGTTGGTCGCCAGGATTACCGGCGCTTTTCACCAAATGTTACAATATCGACATCGTAATGATCGCTAGTAAAGCATTTAACCGGAACCACGTGATGGAGCACATCGATCTGGATGAGAAAATGAGCGCTCAATGACCCCTCTACCCGACTTTCAAAACGAAAACTTTGCCTTTAGTGCGATTTATTATCAGCGTCAAATAGGCATATTTCTAGGTAAATACGCAAATTTCAATCTCAATTCGCGACCCCTAAACCACCTTTGATTTCAATATTTTTGGCATCATTGGAATCACAAGCCGCGAAATAATGGGAAAAACCACCCCCACCCACAAATTTCCAAAATCGGGAAAAATGGGTACCCCTATTATTCATGCTGCAAAAGCTCGATCAATCAGTAAGTCTAATGGTATGTAATAGGTAAAATGCAACAAAATAAATAAATGTTCATGACAACGTTCCCTAGAGGAAAAGGCAGAATCAAAACACCACAAAACACATTGTTTGGAAACTGGCCTTGAGTCCTGAGATGTGGTCTGAGATACTCTACAAAGTATTTGACACTGAAAATCCAGCTGAAAAGGCAGGTATTAGGTAGCCCTGAGCCTGACTTTGGTCCCAAAAATGAAATGAAAATCAAATAAACTGGCATTTTGTCTCATCTTTACAAGAAAACACAATATGCATATAAAATAAACAAAGTGGCGCAGAATAACAGGGGAACCAAGGATTGACTTTTTAGATCTTCTCTCCCCTGATGGAAGGATGTAAGATGATGACGTAACGTAATATTTATTCGTATGCCTTTTTGGTTTGATTCCTGAAAGGGAATGCATTTTCTTGTAGTGAACTAAACTCACAATGTTGATTACATCAGAATTCAATATCGTTTTGGATCATTTACATCAACAAATCATTTATGAGGCAGTTTGCTACAGTTCAGAAACTTTTTTTGCAGCAATTTAATCAGCTGGTTAAAAGTCTCTGTTATTATGGCGCATCTGTTTCGAAATATTTGATAGTTGAGATAACCTTGTGTTTGGAGAGGAAGATTCTTCGAGAAAGCGAGTATTATATCGTTTTTATGCATATTATTTGGTGACTGTTCTCAGGACAAGTGAGTTCTTCACATTTTTCAAATGATTCGTATCTTATTCATGAGCCAGCAAGCCATGGCGAAAAGGAAAAAAGGTGTTGATCTCGCTTCCTCAGGCACATGGCCGAATCTGTACCTAGGTACTTTTTATGTTGTGGCCATCTAGATTTCAAAATTTGATTTTGGTTGGTAGGTTCCTGCAACATTTTAGGAGAGTGTGGAATAGTAGAACACCTCTGAAATGTTGATGTGATTACTGCTAACTTGAACTGTCCAGTCTCCAGAAACAATTCAGTAATTTAAGTTCTTTTTGTCATTGCTTTTTTATGCTTTTTTCTTACTGCTTTTTTTTTGTAGGCAATACCTCTTTGATTACACGTGATATTTTAACAGTTACAGACTGGAACTGAGTTTCAAAATTGTGGGTATTTGTGGGGCCAACTGAGCCAAAATCATCCTGTTCGTAGTTAGGTTGGACATTGGGTGGCTGCTGGGTGGGAACTGGGATGGGTACTGAAATTGCCAAAGTGTGGCATCTCTTGTATGGGTAAGCTAGAATCAACATTGCAGGTTTTTTTTTAGTATGCCGGTAATTTGGTGGTGTTTTTGCTTGGGTCGTGGTAGCATGCCGGTATCCCAGAAAATTTTTGTGGGGCGGGGCGGTGCCGGTAGCAGCCTTTGGGGGAAATTTTGCAACTCTACCCCGGTGCCCTCCCCGTTCCGCCGCCTATGGATGCTACGCTCACTGGTTGTATTTTTTTAAGTTTGCAGCAGTTACATCGCATAATTTCAATGTTCACGTCGGTTCCTAGGTTGGGTTGGCTGGGTTTACATCAAATTTTAGTGCATTGAGAAGAATACACAGAAGGTTATGTCAAAACTCGTATTCTGACGAGCTTCGTGCGACGTCTATGACACCGGCGAAATATCCCGATCTCGCGAGATTCCCTCTCGACTCGCGTGGGCGGTGACGGGAGACTGCGGTGGATCACAGCGCGCTAACACCACGCTGGGCGGAGAGGGGCTGGGAGTCTGGCGATCGTTCCACCCGCCCCCTCCCCGTCTCTACGCCCTGCATGCCTCACCGGGATCCCAGTCATCTCAGGCGGATATGACGCCACCTAGTGATGACGTCGTCCTCTTTATGTGCTGGCATCATCGTGTGTACATATGTTGATACGTTATGTCCAAATGAATGGTAGGGAGACGGAGAAGTTATAGCATGTAACATATGTTTGCAGTCATGTTGAAGGTTCACCCACACTGTAAAAAAATTCACTAGCTAATTTTGAAATTAGGCATTTTTTACGAGTGCCTCCCTTGCACCTCGTTACAACATATATGGACATTAGTAGTCAGAGCCATGCACGTTAACAATGCCCTTTGTGGAACAAATGCCTACGAGCGAGAGCATGTTCAGGAACCTAATTTTGCGCAATGTTAATGAACTACGCACAGCCTCACAGTGTTACCTGCCGTTGGCTTGTTCTCGGCCAGTTTTTGGCGTGTCCCTCAATTAGGTCATTTTGCTATTAGCTCAGCTGACGAAGCCCCGGCTGGCACCTACTAAACGGATAACCTTGCGTGCAACCCCGCTTGTTGTCACGAACGCCTGCAGCTGGTAAACGTGCTGGTAAGCTTGCGTGGTAAGCGGCTTCGGATGGCTATGAGGATGTGCCTCATAGCTATCCTCGTCGCATGTTACAACCTAGGAGTCTGTGGCTGCTTTCAGAAGGAGTCCCCCCCCCGCATCCGGGAGCCGGCGTCCATTTTGTGTTGCGTCGCCATTACTGTGTGTGTCTGCCCAACTGCTCTTTGGCTTGATTGAAGGTGAGGCATCTTGTATCATTTGCTGTGTGTTCAACAAAAAGGTTGTCCATTTGTAAACAAAAGTTATTATGTTGTTGAGCTTCTTAGAAGATGTATAGTATCGCATAATGCTGCCCGTCGTTGGCAGAAGTGCGCCGGTATCGTCTATCCAAGTCAGAATAGCTATATGTTTGGGACTTACGCTAGCTTGTGGCAGGAATATATCACTTTATTCAACTTCAATTTAATCATTTTCCAGATTGGTATGCCTTATGATAATAATAATGCTAATATTGTTTTTTTTTTCACCCATTACAGACTTCTCTGGTAAAGAATGGGGCCATGTACTTATGTCCTGGCCTACCTTCACCCCGCGACTGCCGCCGGTGCAGAGCTAATGAAAAATCACAAATGTTTGATTGTGGTTATTTAAGAAACCTAATTGCAAATTATTCAGTTAGTTGTTGTTGTTGTTGTTGTTGTTGTTGTTGTTGTTGTTAAAGTTATAGTTATTGTCCTGGCGTTGTTATTGTTCTCGTTCTCGTTCTCGTGCCCGAATAAATGTGCTGCAGCGCTACTCAGTCTGTTTACTTGCGGTTGGCGGTCGAGAGTCGGGGGCACTGGGTTGACGGAATTCCGTCGACGGAATTCCGTCGACCAGTGCCCCCGACCCCGAAGGCCAGTAGTGGTACTAGTTAACTAGTGCCACTACTGGCCTTGAGCTAGTACCACTACTAGCCTTGGGGGCTAGTACAATTACTGGGTATGGATTAGTAGGCAGTGGCTAGTTACCTTACCAGGCAGGGGCTATTATGACACCTAGTAGACGCACTACTCACGCTATTTACGTGCGTGTTGTCAAACTAGGTGGACCACGGTGGTCGTATGCATACGAGGCACAGCCTTGTCGAACAAGCTTGTTACTCGGCAACTAGCCTAAAATTAGCCAAATTTACACGCTCCTGCAATGTTATTTTTGCGCTGAGAATTCCTCTACGAGGGGCTTGTAAGTTTTTTTTACAGTGCAATTGCATGTATAAAAATTGATGTCCACCATGAAATGTAAGGAAAATTTGTGTTTTGTTTTGAGCCGTCTCTTAGTCAGAGAAGTCTGAAAGAAAACCAAGATCGGTGATCTGTAAGAGACCTGATGCATATATGTATCTTTTGAATTATGATTTAAAAGTTTAATCAGTAGTGAGTGAGTCGGTTAGAAAAATGCATCAGCTGATGGCGTTATCGGTACTGAAGATGAGGACGGTTCTCGATACGGTTCATGGAAGGATGCTCATTGCTCAATACACGCACTGCTCGCGTCCATAAGTCAAAAGCGCTGCTTGTGCATGGTAATCAGATTCTGACGTCACGCATAGTCAGCTGTCCAAGAAGCACGCTGCTCAAGACATATATGGCATCTTGCGAATAAAGTAGCTGCATGAACTACTGTAGCTCAAGAGTACTGAATAACAATTGTGAGATTGAAATAGTAGATTATGCGTAATTGCATGCTGATCAATCGGTACTCACCCGCACTCGCAGATTTCGCAGATGCACTTGGCGTTTTTACCGCCGCCCTCGGCGGTGGTGGGTCGGTCGGACTTTTTCCTCTTGGCCGCGCTGGGCTTCCTAGCGCCCTTGTCGTCCACAGTCCTGGAGCTGTCGCTGATCTGCAGCACCTCCCCGGTGCTGGAGACGCTGCCGACCTGCTGCACGTTCGAGGAGGAGCTCGACTCCATGACGCTCGAGCTCACGTTTTGCGACTCGCTCATCTGCGAGGACTGCTGCAGCTGGGAGGACATGGAGGATTGCTCCAGCATCTGCTGAGAAGACATAGAAGACTGTTCCATCACCTGCTGCGAGGACATTGAGGATTGTTCCATCACCTGCTGAGAGGACATGGATTCCATCATCTGCTGGGAACTCGATTGTTCCATCATTTGCTGGGAGGAGGAGCTTTCCAGCACCTGATGAGAAGAGGAAGAACGCTGCATTAGCTGCTGAGAGGAAGAGGTGCTCTCAGCCAGCTGACGTGACGAGGACTGCTCCATCACTTGCTGTGAAGATGACTGTTCCATCATCTGTTGCGATGACGACTGTTCCATCATTTGTTGTGAAGACGACTGTTCCATCATCTGTTGTGAGGAGGAACTCTCCATCACCTGTTGTGAGGAGGAACTCTCGGCCAGCTGAGTGGACGACATCTCGGAGATCTGCAGCTCGGAGGAGGCCAGCTTTGACGAGCTGAGCTCCTGCGCCGTCGAGGCCCTTAACTCGGCGGCACTGGAGCTGTCTGCTGTCGACACTACCGGGCCGGCACCTCCCTCGGCGCCGGTCCCTGTCGTGTAGCTGGTCTTCTTCCCCTTGCTCGGCGACTCTTTGATGGCATCCTTCGTCGTCCCCTTGGTCGTCTCCTTCCCCTTGATGGCCTTCACGTCAGAGCTCTTCACGGCCTGTGTTTCCGAGCTGGTGGCGCTCTTGGAAAACTTGCCGGAGACCTTCTGCGTGGTCTTCTCTTGCGTCTCGAACTTCTGCACCTTCTTCTCCTCCGTCACGCGCTTCTCTTCCTTCACCCACTTCCCGTTCCGCAGAACCTTGCCGGTCTTTCCAGGCATGTTGCCGGCTCACAGTTTCACACGTTCACACAAGCACACAAGAGTCCCCGGCACTTCCAAGTGCCTCACTCTCACACGTTAGTCGTCTGTCTCGCGCACACTGGACGTGATCAGCACACGGCGCGTCGTCGGCTCGGCTCGCGGTCGTCTGCTGCTGGGCGGCCCTCGATTCTGCCCCGCCGCCGTCGACCGGTCGTGTTATGAAAGCGCCCTCTGCCGGGTGCCTGGGTGACGTCACTCACTGGCGCCGCCCACTCGGAGGTCCGACCTGCGAAAATGCCATTTGCGGTCAAGAGAGAGGGTAGGGGTGAGGTGGTAGTGCCGTGTTAGGGCAGCAGCTGGGCTGGGGCGGCATGTCATGACGCTGGTGACCCGGGTTTGGCCGCCGCGCACAGGTCAGCGCTCAGGTGGTGCTCCGGTCACCTGGTGACTCACTGAGGTCCGCGAGGTCGCCCACCGGCCGGAACGGACCGGCGCGTCCTCGACGGTTCCTCGTCAGCGTATATGGACGCAGACTGAGCGGCGGCACTGGCACCGGCACTGTCTACTACCACTACCACTGGCTGGCCACCGCTGGCCGCTCCCCATCTGTGCCCACCCAAAGTAAAGCGTCAGCACCCACGGGTCGAACATTGGGCGCCCACGGTCGGTTCTAAGTTCCCACCCACCGGAGGCAAGGCGACGCACCAAGCCGGTCGATAGAAACAACATACCAAACCACCACCGCCGCCGCCGCCGCCGCCGCCATAGCAGCGATGGGCGGCTGGTTCAGAGAAAGCGTCTACACTCGGTTGGCCCATGCACCGGCGAAACGCTCCCTGGCCAGCCGGCGCCGGGCCGCGCCGGCGAGAGAGGCGAAAGTGGCACCCTTCCCTCTCCTGTCATCCCTCGCTCGGAACTCTCGAGTCAGTCGCCCATTCGGTGTTTGGGGCACGTCACGCTACGCTCTGCTCATGCGGTTATAAAAGGCTTGGATCTCCCCTGTTTATGCGAGTTTCCTGTGAGATAGCGTTTAAGTGTTCTTGTTTACCATTGAGTTTGGCGTGTGTATCCGTTCATCGGTACATTGTTTGGGTTTAGTACGATGAAGGCCTGACTCTTCGACTCCATCAAATGTTTGATGTTAATCCTATTCAGCTTCTCCAGCTTTCAACAGCCTAGACCGGAGGCGATAGGCCACTGAGGTCACAATCAGCTGATGACCAAAACATTCAGTTGACTGCAGTGACGTCAGGGGTCGGAGCTGGAATCGTCTAGTCCAGCGGACGGGAGACCATCTACGTCATTTGGTTCAATCAGCTGCAGAGACACTCCTAGGTCACCCTAGGCGCCGCAGAGCCCGTTAAGGTCATATGACTAACTGGCGGACCAGTCAGAGCCGCTCTCGGAGAGGTGGCGGGGCGTCATACCAAAACGGCCAGCTTACTCCGCCGCCGCTGGCCGCCCACAGCTGTGACGTCATATGGACAGGCGGTCCATATAAGGGTGTTGGCGTGGCGGCGCCGGCCGCCCACCGCTGCCGCCGCCGCCGCTGCCGCCGCCGCCGCCCGGTCACGCGCGGCCGGCCGCGCCGCCGAGCAGGCACACAGCTCGTCCGCCCGGGATGGCGGCAGATGTGGCGTCATCGCCGGGAGCCTTCAGAGTTCCGCCGGTGGCGTCATCGCCGGCAGACTCCAGAGCCGCTGGTGACGTCAAATGACGCGCACTGGGTGACGCAGAGACTTAGAGAGCTTTGGAGAGGTAGTTAAATTTATTTATAGTCACCGTGGTTAAATTATCCTCCAACTTGTTTGCAAGACACGCTAGAGAAGCAGGCATCATACCTACATCATATAGGTAAATTGCACAAAATAGTTTGTGCATTGGTGATAGAGTTGAGCACATCCAACTAAAAACGCTGAAATGAAACTCCGACACTGCTACAGTGCTTCCACCGTGCATGGCTATTCTCAGCAGTGAGTCTGCATTGGAAATGTATGTAGAAACGGCGTTGAATCAAACGATGGCAATAACAAAAGCCAGCGAATGGTTGAAATCCAACTGGTGGAGACGTCATAAATCTTCTAAGCTCAATCAACCGGCATATATCGTATGCAATTTGTATTTTTCAGGTGGATATTCACCTCATTCAAGATAAGCTGGGTTGGAATTCCGAGTGGCCGCCTGTATATACGACATCAAAACAGCCGTATAAGACGAAACATCTCATCAATCGTTCCATCTGTTCCCCTTCACAGCAGTCGTTGAAGAAAGATCTATGTAACATCCAAATCAAAACAAACACGTCCTACGCATGGTCTGAGTGCCTGTGGCTCATAGTAATTACATGTGCCACTTGGAGCCTGTTATCCACTTGTTATCTTGTGCGATAACTTTAACACTGAACAGATCTCCCGATTGGGCTAAAAACGCCGGGGAGCTGCAAGTAGAGTGTACGTACATTCACAACAATTAATAACCTGAGACCACGCAGACAGGCAAAATGAGTTCATGATAAATAGGGTGAAGTCGTATAAGAGTACGCACTTAGTGGATTTCTTGCTCTCATTTGTTTAATATTTGAAAGAAAGAAATCGCAAATAGGGAATATTAAAGTTCATTGAATTAGCCATCATCCCATGGGGCAACGATCCTTCAGTGTAAATGGAAGTGGTCTAAAACTGACATTTTCTGAACCGCTGCAGTTGCGTAATCTTACCATATGGGGTATGTAAGAGTACGCACGCCAGGCGGGTGGAGTACGCAAGCATATGAACACACACCTATGCAGCTTGTACTGTCCAAATGCTTAACTTCAAACTCAGAAGGCATTTAAGTTAATTCTAGTATCCAAAAAAAAAACATAAAATAAATCTTTCAAGTCAGAAAATCAGGAAATAAGCATGTCGTGTGTTTCTTTAAAAAATGCACAATCAAAAGGGAGAATAACTCGTATTTGGAAGAATTTCGGGTACGCATCTGCATCACAGTGCTCCATTGATGATATACCTACAAAACAAACGTCATTGAGCGATAGATTAATAATTTTATATTTCTGTATATTCGATTTAATGTATAATTCTGCGTACTCTTACCCTCCTGAACAGTGCGTCCTCTTACCGTACATGCAATTCGCGCACAAAACAACCCCGAAACGTTGTGCAAAACTTCGCAAACAGAATATTGCACTGCACAGTATTTCCCCAGATAACCTCACAAGTTTCCCACCACAATCACGGAAATGTACCTTATCTCAACTGCCAAGTATCAAAATTATTGTACCATACCATAATAATATCATAACGCTCGAAAATAATATTCATCGCCTTAAACTCAACAGCGTCGCCGCGCAAGGCCCACGTTCCGTTGGTGACAAGCACGCACTGGCGGCTTCATGTCACTTCATGAACTCGACAAACCCGCGTTGCTAAGCAACCGAAACAGCTGATGCGTACTCTTATCGCCCGCGTACTCTTACCCGCCCTTACCCTACATTACCATTTGGTGTGGAGTGCTGTCTGCGACCCACATGATTCAAAGTCACAATATAGCTTGCTTTGGTGGTACTGCTATGGTTATGAATATGGGTTGCAATGAACGAAGTGCCGAAGAGACGGAAAATCCTCACCCGCTCTCTTCTGATTTTAGCAGCCGCTAACAACACAGCATAACAGTGTCTATCAATCCGCCGTGAAGCCAAGCATGAAGGTCGAACCCGCGGTGCCGATTCCGGGCACTGTTGGTGATTACTGCACACTCGCACGCCGCTGTTCAGAATGGCATGCCAATGGGCGAGCATTCCCAACAAGCGCCCTCATTAGAGAGGCGTGTCTTGGCTGTCACATGCCAAACTACGACCGATTCCGTCCGTCCAAGTGATGCGCTCCACCTGGTGCGACACCGCACGCCACGGCGGCACGCAGTACGGCCTACGACCGAACGTCGGGTACGGCTCGGCTACGTCGGACGTGCCTCGGTCATCGGAACGGGGCCAGGCGTACCCCTCCCCGGCCCGGTCCCACCCCAGTGCCAATCACAGGACCAATGAGCCGACAAACACGCACACCCGCTCAATAGTACGGTCCGCCGCGCCGGTACGCAGAGCGGGCACGCAGGTGCGCCGCTGACTCCGTGACGAGGCTACTGCACGGAACGCCTGTATTTAAACGCCGGTCCGGACCAATCCTATAACTTAGCTGTTGATGAAGCTGTATGCATTCTGGTTTGGTTTTCGTGGCAGGCTGTAGGCAGGCTAGGCAGCGGAACGCATTGCAGTTAGATGTAGCTACTATGTATATCTATGACCACTGATGACCACTACCCAACTTCTGTGGACCACCATTGGATTACAGTGAGCCGAGCCGAACTACGAAGCCCGCCTCGCCAGCCCCAGCCGGTGCTGGAAACACCCCTTAACGTTGGCGTCGCCGGTGCCTGCGTGGTGTGATGAGCCTGAACTGAGGGGCCGGACCTACCCGTCTCTTACCTCGGTATCCGGGAGGATTTGGCGTAGTGCGGCCTCGACCTCCGCCAGCTCCTATTGCGTGTGTTCCAGCTCTCCCTAGCTGAAAGACGCCGGAGTTGACGGAAGGAGACAAAGGAAAAATAAGAAAGAAAAAAAACGAAAAACAAGAGCGGCCGCCGTCTGACGTGCCACTCACGCACTGGAGGCGCCCGGCGGCCGGCGCATTGTCCTCGCCAGGCCGGGCGGGCCGTATTTGCTTACCCGACCGCTGGCGCTTATCTAGCCTCCTATTGGCGCCCGCACCCTCTGTGGCCGGCTCCCTCATATGCCGGGCACCTCCAGGAAGCGGGGGGCCGGTTGCACCTCTAACGCCAAGCGTTAATGTATTTTGCACGGAACTGACGTGAAAAGACCATTAACGTTGGCGTCGCCGGTGCCTGCGTGGTGTGATGAGCCTGAACTGAGGGGCCGGACCTACCCGTCTCTTACCTCGGTATCCGGGAGGATTTGGCGTAGTGCGGCCTCGACCTCCGCCAGCTCCTATTGCGTGTGTTCC